GGAAAAGAAGTCTCTTCCCCTTCCCCAAAAATTAGCATTTTTGACTTTTCATCCCAATTTGGGACCATGTTTTCAAAAATATGAAGTTGTCCCTAATTGGGATGAAAATTCAAAAATGCTCAATTTATTTATTTGGAAGGGATTTCCAGAAAAATTCTGTTTTGAGAGAACTGAAATGGAATTTTCCAGTTTGCTGGCTTTCACCCCCCCACAAACCCACCCCAGGGACTTCTCCATGTTTCCCAAGATACACAAACAAAGGACCCCAGGCCCATCATTTATGGCAACAGAACTACTGAGGGAATATTATAGAGACCATCCTCAAACCACTCAGAACACAACCTGCTTCCTCCAGAAACTCTGCAACATTAACAACCTGCCTCAAAATACCATCCTTTCCACCAAGGATGTCATCTCCCTATACACCAACATCCCTCACCATGAAGGCATTGCAGCCTGACACTGACAGCACTCAGATATTCACCTCAAACACATCCTCACCCATAACAACTTTACATGTAAACACTTTCTCTAAACCACAGGAATTAGGATGGCTTCCCAATATGCCAACCTCTTCATGGGCCACCCCAAGGAATAATTGCTGGAAAGCTACACCACTGCACAAAGCCATGGCCAAAGATATTGACCTGGAGGGTCCTCCCCGAATTGTCTGCTTTTGATTAGTACATTAATTGCAGGGGATTGAAACCCACTGAGGCATCTCGTGACTGAAATATGTGGCCATGCTCTAGTGTGCTCTTTGAGCAGCACCTTAGCATCACAATAGTGTATCTTGCCACACGCCCAACTCATCTTCTGGCTCTCTATTGTTTCACTATGTATGAGCACACAGCATCACAAATTTCCCTGGCCTGCTGGGAACCACAAGCTGTGTGCTCATGGGTGGGGTCAGGTTGCCACTACAGGCTTTGGAAAGCAGTTCTGTACTGTGCCCACTTGCTGTGGAAGTATTTCCCTTTAGCCTCATCTACGTTATGCAAAGCACCGCATGTTACAATAAGCCAAAGTGCTTTGGCCACACTGGCATCCCGAGCATGGGTGGCATGTAATGGAGGCTGGGGGAGGCTAAGGCTCCCCAAACCTCGTGCCCCGGTGGGGGGAGGGGCAGTGGCAGATTACCGAATGGGCCCCAGCACAGAAACACCATATATAGTCATGTCATTTCCGGGGAATAAAGTCCTCTGTTTTGTCCTGCAGTACAGCCCTGAACACCCTGGTGTCATGGACCTTTCCCACGTGTTCTGCATTCGTGTTCATTAACTGACTGCTTATGGTCACAGTTTACTTATTCACTGGCCCCTTTCAGTAGGCAAAGTATAGGTACATGTGTTCTGTCAATGTCCCCCGCAGAGTTTGGAAAACCCATCCTCTGAAATCTTACTATAATTTCAGGGAGTTGTGTTATGACAACTATCCATAGGTAGATCACAGTACTGATAGCCTGGCCAACCTGTGCAACCACCATTCCCACAGTTGACTTCTCAGCCCTGAACTGGTTGGCGACTGACTGGTGTCGTCAGGTGTTGCCAGCTTCCAAAGGGCAATAGCCACCTGCTTCTATACTGGTATGGGTTTCCGAAAACAAGTGGGTGGGGGGGGCATGGCTGGGCTCTGGGGAGTGATGGGGTGTGGGTATCTGGGCAAGGGGGGCACCCTGTGGCTGGGCTCTGGGGGGGGGGGAAGGGAGGGGTTGTGGGTCCAGTCCCTCTAGCTGGACTGGGGGGAGGCAGAGAAACAGGTACTGGGTTTCTTTAACTCTCTACTTCTGGGGGAATTTTTGTGTGTCTGCATTGTTACACACATACGTGCTGACAGGTATTTTGAAATAAATTACCAAAATAATTGAAACTGGTGTTTGTTATTTTGACAAATGTTGCAGAATTTTTATTTTTTTGGCCCAGAATGCCCCCAAGAGGAATATATATGTCAAAACAAGACACCAGAAAGTGCTAGGCTTAGCTACGTGACATTTGAAGTTCAATGAATGAACAGTGCATATTTTCACATATGTAACGTAAAATAACACAGAAACATACAATGTATATTTCAGTACTAAACAACATATTGAAACAGTAAGGTTGTTGGCGTTGCTTATGCATTTCACTTAAAACTGGACATCGGGGCTTGTCAAATGGCACCCGGACACAGAAGCCAAAAACCAGACTGTTCAGCTAAAACCCAGATGAGTGGCAACCCTAGGACACTGGGATACTGCCCTGACATGTTAGCACTAACGACACACGCTGAAAGGGACAGTGTGGATGAAGGTGTGGCATATACCTCTGCCCAGCACAGGATAGGTGGACACTCAATGTGGGTACAGGCAGGTTCTAGCTGTATACTGACAAGTAACTGTGTCCACTTGCAAGTGTAGTTGTACCCCTAGTTGTCACCTACCAACCCTCACTCGAACCTATAAGGGTATCACCAAACAAATGCAGCCCATTCTTGATGGGGACCACATTTTGAAAGAAATCTTTCCCCAACCCCCATCTTCTGGCCATCAAACAGCCTCCCTACCACGCGAAGCTTACCATCAGAAGCAAGCTCCCCAAAGACCACCATACACCAGCTCAAAGCATCTGCCAGAACAACAGATGCAAAGCCTGCAGGCATATCTCCATTGTTACGATAATCAATATCCTCACCCCTACAACACACTTTTCAAGATCCATGTTTCCTATATATCCCCATCATAACATGTGGTGTACCTCATCCAGTGCATCAAATGCCCCAACAACAACTATGTGGGTGAAACCAAACAATCACTGTACTCACGAATGAACCTATGCAGAAAAATGATAAAAGACAAAAATGCCCTGTCACCCGTGGGTGAACACTTTTTCACAAAGCAATCACTCCATATCTGATCAGTCCTCATCCTCAAAGGAAACTTGCATAATACACCTCTACCCCGATATAATGCGACCCCGATATAACACGAATTCGGATATAATGCGGTAAAGCACCGCTCCCGGGGGGTGTTGCGCACTCCCGCGAATCAAAACAAGTTCGATATAATGCGGTAAGATTTTTTGGCTCCCAAGGACAGCGTTATATTGAGGTAGAGTTGTACTTTCAAAAGATGAGAACTTAATTCATAACTCTGCTAGATACTAAAAATCCTGGCTTCAACAGAGACACTGTTTTTTTGGCTCTTTACAACAATTTGTAACCTACTCCTCCTCCTTTGTCCATGACTGTAGTGGTGTTAATTGCCCACTTCATTTCAAGGGGTTTCTTGCAACATGTGTTAACCCCTTATGCTTAACAATCTGTTCCATCTTGTATTCAGCTGTGACTCTCTGGTTGCCTTTTCCAGACCTGACTCTGTGAAGCATGAAAGCTTGTCTCTTCCACCAATTTCCCCCACAATTTTTATCTCACCCACCTTGTCTCTCATATCGTGGGACCAACACACTACAAAGAACCTTTGAGGCGGGCTGCTGAAGGCTAACTATCCTGGCTCCCAGCCTTAAAAGTTCTGATTTTTTTGGTGATAAGGGCATTTTCCATCAGAAAATTCTCAACCATCTCTACACGTCTTTCAGTTAACTGTTCGCACCAACCCTATTCCAATGCCTGAGCATAAACTCTTCACAGGAAGCAAAACAAACCCCAAAATGATCATTAATTTTTGCAACCCTTGATTGTTACCTTTTGTAACTCCCCTCCACTACCACTGTCAGAATGTTGTCTACATTCACTGTGCTATTCCTTTAGATTATAAACTCTTTGAGTTGGGGCCCTTCCTTCTTATATTTCTGTAGAGTACCCTATCCGCCCATGGCACCATACAAATAATAGATAATTTAAAAACATTAAGTGCTATAGAACTGTTGGTATTAAAACACATTTTGATATACATGTATACAACATAGCAGAAATAATAATAATAAAAAAAAACCCTAGGCTATCACTTTTCCTTTTTAAATCCGTAGAATAATTTTCTCGCCACTGTAACATACAGCTATATTTCTGTGGCTAAGCAGATAAGACATTAAGCTAGTTTTCACATTGTTTCTGTGTCTCAGTGGATAGTATGGATTTCTCACATCTCTAATTAAAACTGTTTTCCACTTCTTAGTGTTTACATTGAACACTTGGAGTTAATGTGTTGTTGTTTTTTAAACTGAAAACAGATTAATTGCTATACACGGCAAAACCTTTGGTACATTTAGAATTTTATTTGCATGCTAGATTAATAATTAACTCTTGAGTGGACACTGTAGAAGCAAAGACTGTAACCTTGTTTATATTTAGTTTGGCAGAATTCATTATTTATTTTTTTTATAATGTTGATAGATAATATCAGTTTATTTTTAAGTTTTTATTTTTTTATTTTATTGATTTAAATTTTAACAGTATGCAGAAATTATGGGAAGGTCAGACAATGTAGGGTATCAGACAATAATTATTTAATGACAGTAGATACTGAGATTCAAAAAGTTAAAGTTTTATCACTGTTAAAACACAAATTGTCAACATCACATGTCAAACTATATGAAGTAAATATTCTTAAATATAACTCTAAGTTCTCAAGCAGCATTTTTCTTACTTGGCTGATCTGTATATTTCGATTATCAGTGGAAAGATATTTTTGCTGGTTTGTGTGTGTGTGTGTGTACAGTGAAATTGACATGTAATGACATTTACCGATAAAAATCTAATCCTTCCAAACCTATTTATATTCACACAGTACTGTAAATTTACTTACCTCCAGCACACATTTCTCTAGAGACCATCATATTTTTATCATAATTTTCTATGAAGCTGATGCATTTCTTCTGAGGGGTGATTCTATAATGCAGTTCATACTGTAAAATTTATATGGTACGGATCCTCTGCTGATGACTTCAGTGGAGCTATGCCAATATATACCAGCTGAGGATCTGGCGCATAATTGATAATGATGTTCCAAAAAGACAGCTGACTGTTTATACCACAAAAGAATATGGTGCAAAAGTATCTTAACTTACCAGGCAGATGAACTCTGAAAAGACATCAATGGTGGGTTTAAAGCATCTCCTTTTAAAGTATGTACTGCCTGTGACAATTGAGGCTGAGGCTGAGACTGAGGCTGAGTCTGTACTTGGCTTGGATTCTGAGCAGAGTTAATCCATCGGCTCTGTGCCTGTGTCATCCACTTTCCCTGGATTCCCCACCTTGCCAGGTAAAATTTGCAAATATCGTAGTTCATTGATGAGTAATATAAAAGGTCCAGTACCAGCAAGATCACAACAAAAAAGCCATAGATCCACACTCCTAACAACGCACTGTAATTGCTGGGGAGGAGGGGGGGAAAAAGAAAACAACAAAGGAAATGATTTAACAGATCATTCACTGTCATCACTCTATTTATCAGGGGGTTTTGTTTGCTGGTTTGTTTGTTTGTTTGAAAAATAATCAGGATTTTCATCTAAGAGGAGCAGGTATTTTTGGTAGAGTAGTGTTAAGAGAGTAGTTACCCAAAATGCTGCATTTCACTAGTATAAAGTACATCAAAACTCAACAATACAAAGACCAGTGATTTTATAATACAATTCATTCAACAAGTATAGAGGTGAAAACACAGAGTAGGCTTACGTGTAAATGTTGGCATAGCTATAACATATATATATATATATATATATATATATATATATATATGAGTAAGATCAGGATGGTTACCACCCTGCCATTGACTTATAACAAAAGTGCCACAAAAAGCTTAATTGAATAAAGACAGAACAGAATGAGTAAAGATATCAAGTAAAGTCAGAGACCATAGTAGGGAGATAAAAGCAAAGGAGAGTGGAAAACACTGTTGAGACAGCAAGTTTAGCTGTTTTTTTTTTTTTTTTAAACTGATTGTTAGGTCTATTGGCATTTGGTATGTGAGACTGGGGATTGGGAAAGAATTAGGCTAGAACAAACGTGCAGGTTTTGAGGAGGAATTTAAAGTGGGAGAATGGAGGCTGCTAGGTGTATGGGGGAGGAAGGTTGTTCCAGACAAAAGGGCTGATGTGATGAAAAAACGCAGGGCAGAGAGTGGGAAAAGAAAAGGAAGCAAAAGGGGAAGTAGATAGAGATGCAGAGTCTTGAAAACCACCTAAAGAATTGCAATATGGCCCCCAAGTAATGCTTTAGGCATACATCATTTACTGGAATTCCAAATGATCTAAACCTGCCATTCACCCACCAGCACCCTGTTGAAAGCAGTGAAAGCAATGAATGTATTCAGCTACAGCTGGTGAGAGAAACTTTGACAGAACCACATTCCAACAGAATGTGCAGTTCTGCTGAAATTTAAGTGTTCTGTCAAATTGGGTTGATTTCCCCCAAATGTTGTGATGTAAGAAAAACCAGGAAAAATGCTAACAATGTTGACATGTCCCATTCTGACAGTTTGAGAAGAAACTATTTGGAATTTGTGTTTTGAAATGACTGTTTTGAATAGTTAAATACTTTGTATTAATGACATATAATGCAAAACAAAAAAGTTGAAGTTGAAACAAAATGTTTTGTTTCCAGAACTTTTCCTTCCTTGAGAATTTCGAAATGTTTGGTTTTCAATCTGATTTGGGACAAAGCCAAATTTCAAAAAAATCTCAAAAATCCTTCACAAAAATGGTATGCCATCTTCAACCCAGCTCTGTATTCAGTGATTTACTTCATTAAGCTATTCTGTGTTGAACGGGGCGGAGTCTGTAAGCAGTTCAAGGCAGGGTCCGACTTCTTTTTATATGTTTGTAAACCAGGAGGTGGGAGGGGGGAAATCTATCTCCCACTGAAGTCAATGGGAGTCTCTCAAGGGGAATTTTGCCTCTGTTAGGGTTCAGGCTCTTAAATGAAAAAAATATCTAAAGACTAAGTAGTGGTATGATTCAAAGTCCAAACACATGTGCTTGTGAACCAATGTAGCATGTTATAGCTACCTGAGATTTACTGTGCTAGCCTGCAAACACAATGCTTTTTTCCTGTATTTCTGTCAACGCTTCCAGCAAAGTTATCACATAATGAAACTGCATTATCAGTTTCGTACATTTCTATGTTATTCTAGACACACACACACACACACACACACACACACACAACTGTCCAGTGTGTCACACAGTTTATGGCTGGACACCACAATTTGCCTTAAAAGGCAATCAAAAAATGAAAGCATTTTGAAGGCAGATTTTGTTATCCAGGAAATAGGGGACAAAAGATTCAAGAACATGCTCATATAACTTTAATTTTGTTTTAAATCAAAATTTCAGGTACAATTCTGAGTTCCTGTCACATCAAGATTTAAAGGGCCCAATTCACCTCTCATTTATCACGGATTTACACTAGTGTAACTTTAGTGACTTCAGTGAAGTAACACTGGAATAAAGCAGGTGCTAATGAGAGGAGGAACAGGCCCCTTAGCGGGTCCTATGAGCGTGTAGCTTTAAAATTACAAATAAACACTGGGTGTTTAAGGCTGGGATTTCTAATAATGTTTAGTATTAAATCTTCAGTGGGAATAGAGGTAGACCAATGCTGAGTGTTTTTGAAAATTCCATCTGATCCTCTAAGAGGCCTGTCCCTGTGAAGACTTGTGCATGTGCTTAACTTTATGAACTACAAGTAGTCCCTGGTAATTTTTGTAAGGCTTTGCAGGACTGGAGCCTAAAATATAACCTGAGAGGTTTGGGCAAAGATTTTCAATGCTCCTGATTTTTCAGTGGATATACTCTTGTTTACACTGGTAAAACTCTGGAGTCACTCCATTAGAAAATGAAAGGGGAGTCAGGCGTGAAGGATTCAGGATGAGCTCCACAAGGAGAAATCCTGTTCATTGTAATCACTGAATCTCACTGAAGTCACCAGGACCCACTTCTGGGAACAGAATTTGGGCCACAGTGGGAAGGAAAATGTATTTTTGTTTCCCATAAAGTTAGAAATCGTGTCACTTATATGCTAGCAAGAACTTGAAGGTAGGAACATTACCTTTTCTTCTAGCTGTTCATATGGACGTTTTTATGGTTGTGTTTAGGTATTTGTTTTGTCCATTAAAAATCGCTTAGTGAAAAATTAGGTCTATTTTGAGCACTGCAATTTAAAGCAACAATTTATTAATCATGCTGTATGTGGGTTCTCCATCTGTCCCTTGTAAATAACAGCTGTTTCTAACAAGTACAAAAATGAAACTGCATTATTTTAATTAAAATATAGTGGGACAACAGCATTGTTGAAGAAGCCTTGTGCAAATCACAGGCAATTAATAAATTATATGGGTTGTTCACAGGGAGAAACTCCATACATTGGTACAGGTTGCTACACATTATGATGGTGCAAAATATTAACTTTAATACACATAATATTGAAATTAAAGCTTTCAAATGCATCAAGAAAAAATAATACTATGAAAAAATGTGCAAGACTGTACTGTGCATTGTTGGGAGACAATGAGGTGTAGCAGACAGCCCAGTGAACTGGGAGTCAGAACAGCTCAGTTTCATTCTCAGTTCAGGGGACTGGTTTTTCCTTGGAGGGTTTGTCTACCTGGCCCCATAGTGCACACTGCAAACATGTGAATTGCAGCATGCACCAAAGGGTTCAGGTTAACATAATCCTATTTGAAACAGAACTACATTAATTCGAACTAGGTACCTTCTAGTTTGTGCTAGCAGGGTCTGCACCAGGCAGTTAGAGTATAACATTCAGTGTGCACTGCAGCTCTCATCCCTGTAGTGTGCACTGTGAAGCCAGGTGGACAAGCTCTAAGTTTCACATTTGTAGTTAGTTTCACTACTCTCTAGTTCTCCTGTGCTTTCACGTAGATGAATTATCTGGGTTGCAAGGAAATATTTTAATTTCTGTTAACATTTACATCAATATTCACATCCAGGTTTACGGTGGATTTCAAATCTGAGTAAGATTCAGGGTTATTTCGATTCAGTCCATTACAGAAATTCCCTATGTCAAGTAATTCTGATGAGTGTTATTGTTCAGATTTGAACTCAGGTTCTCTACCCTCGTTCCCCTGTGTCTTCCTAAGAAGCGCAAAGGTTTTCATTTTGAAGGTACCTATTCAGGCCCATCACTAATTTTAATAATACAGTACCTAAATCTGGAGCATAAATTACCTGACAGTGTTCTTTTAACCTACTAACTGGAAGCAGGTTAACTCATTGGCCTATTAGGAAAGCTCAATGACCCAATACTTTGGCTTTCATTCTAATACAGTATAGGCTTGATCCAAAGTCCATTTGAAGTCAATGAAAAGACCAAGGCTATGGTTACATTAGAGAGATTACAGCTGCACTGATGCAGCTGTACCACTGTAAGTCTCTAGTATAGCCTCTCTAAGCCAGCGGGAGAGAGCTCTCCATTGACTTAATTAATCCGCCCTCAATGAGTGCTGGTAGCTATGTCAGCAGGAGAATCTGCCCCGCTGACATAGCACTGTCCTTGCTGGTGCTTAGGTCGGTGTAACTTCTGTTGCTCAGGGGAGTGGCTTACTCACACCCCTCAATGACATAAGCTATACTGACATATAGCCTCAGAGGGTATGTCTACATTGCAATTAAACACCGTGGCTGGCCCGTGCCAGTTGACTCGGTCTCGCAGGGCTCGGGCTAAGGGGCTGTTTAACTGTGGTGTAGATGTTCAGGTGGGAGGGTCCCAGAGCGTCTACACCACAGTTAAGCAGCCTATTAGCCCGAGCCCTGTGAGCCCAAGTCAGCTGGCATGGGAGGTGTCTAATTGCAGCGTAGACTTATCATGAGTAACTTCAGTGGACTTTGAATCAGGACCTGTGAGAGTGGGAAATACTTTTCTCGCTCATCTCCACCCCTTCCAGTTGCAGAAGCCTACTGAGATTTTTACATTGGACCCTAGATACAAAAGGGACAGTCACTTTTGTTGTTCCTCCTTCCAAGATAATTTTGCACCAGGTCCCTAGACTCTTCAGTCACCTAGCAAGCAGGATTGGACCAGAGCATTTTTAAAAAAAATCAGAATCAGTAGCTTCTATTTGGCGTACATCGGGGAATCTACAATTTTGTCTTTTTTAAAAACACTTGCAAACAGCTCGATGCAGCTGTATAATTTATATGTAGGCAAACAGCCAGGAGAGTGTTGTTTTCTGGACAGGACTGATAATTACAGTAGTAATGCATTTCAGATTCTTTCTCTCAACCATACACAGATGGCTGATGATGGTTAGATACCTGTATAACTGAGGACGAGTGACTCCTTTTGACATGTGTACTTCTTATGTATGACCTTTCCTAATTATATTTATCAGATATGTTACAGAAAGAAAGGTCCC